CCCCAAAACCCCAAAACCCCAAAACCCCAAAACCCCAAAACCCCTTTCCTTGTTCTCACAATTGAACTTAAGTTTTCATGAATCAAAATTATCTCTTTTTCACGCAGAATACTTGGGAGGCTCTCAAAACTCTATCTCCGATCTTCCACCCAGTGGTCATGACTTCTCAAATAGTGTTAGGATCCTTAGTTGGATCATCTACCATAGCCATAGCTTCATGGAAATTAGGATCGAACTTCTCCCCAACAGGATTATACTCTTCAACATCAAATCTCTTCATGGTCTTGTCAAAGACATTCTTGGTCATATCAATTCCACTTAGAAGGTTTTTGTATTGATTTTTCAAATCCTCAAGATCCTCACAAGACTCATGATCGAACTTGGAAGAGTGATCAATGGCCCTCTGGAAGTCATCTCTAACGTTGATGAGGTCCTTAGCAAATTTGGTAATGGCAAAGCTCTTTGCTTTGGTAACTTCTTCCTTATATCTCTTAACAGTATTATCATTTTCGGCAATTTGATATCTGTACTTGTTAAAAATCTTCTCAAGTTTTTTATTTGTATCCTCAATATGGCTTTCTTTAGTCTCAAGCATGGTTTCCAACTCAGATATCTGTTTCTCTAGTTTGGCTACTTTAGGATCAACCTCTTGTTGCTCTTCAGTGGGTTCTATTCCTTAGTTATTAGGACCTTACCTTGTTGTTCTTCTTTTACTTCCTCATTTAGCTTTTCCTCAGCCTTCTCTGCTTCCTTTTGATTAAATCTATCGCTCTTAGCAGCAGACTCGGTCTTTGAGCTCGTACTGAAGTATCTCATATCAGTGTTGACTGCACACAGGGATGTCCTTGGCAATTGTCTGGCTTGTTTAAGACAGGTCTTTGCTAAGAGTGTTTTCTGGAATAGAATCCTACTAATCTGCATTTTTATGGCTTAAATTATTATTACAATCATAAACAGTCTTTTCGGGGTTTTGGGGTTTTGGGGTTTTGGGGTTTTGGGGTTTTGGGGTTTTGGGG